GTTTCTGCTACAATATTCCGAGGCGAACACGAATAACTCCTATTTTAAATAAAAAAGGAATATTGAAAATGGACCTAAGGAGACATCTACATCTTGCATGCCTGGTGTACAAAGTGATACAAAAAAAGAAACCAGAGTATCTATATAACAAACTCACCTGGATGAGAGATTTACATCCTCTTAATACACGTAGCAAGAGTGGCAGCGGGTTATCATATATACGAGTACATAGGAAGTCGGCAAACAGAGGAAGTTTTAAGTTCTCCGCGGCTAAAATTTGGAACGATCTGCCTCCGCCTCTCCACGAGGAAATGTCCCAGCTCTGTTTCAAATATAGACTAAAACGAGTACTGTTGGAGAAACAAAATAAAGGAGAACAAACTATCGGTAGTATCTGATCCTCAATATGATATTTTACTTATGTGTGTATGTATATGTGTATGTATGTGTGTGTGTGTATGTATATGTGTATGTATGTATGTATATGTGTGTGTGTATGTATGTGTGTGTATATATATATTAGTATTTTTTTTAACTAGTATCAAGAAATAATTCTTGTAAAAAGTAATGTACAGTGGTACCCTGCACTTTGGTTGTTTTGTAAGAGAGGGACTGGCTGAAAACCAGCGCTGTGCAGCTGTTCACACTGCGCTGGGACACTCACAGCATCCGCTGAGCCGGTTCCTTTTGCCGGGTGTGGGACACTTTTTGTATATGTCATTTATATTTTATATTGTAAGTTTACTGGCAATAAATGTTTCTATTCTATTCTATTCTATTCTATTACTTTTTGTGCGTATTTTAGGAGTAGATAATTATAGATCTGTATTAATATACCACTGAGATGACAAGCATACGGCCCACCTGATGATTAATAGTTACCATAGTTTACGAACGCCTGCAATACCAGGGTCATTACGCGTGTGTTGTAGGGACATGAAAGACCCTCATTATCCATTTTTTTGAAGAACTCCATGCTGTAGTCTCTTGGAAAAAAACTTAGGGAGCTCATTCCATAACCTCCTATTCGCATAGTGCCATCTCGTACCGGAACCACATGTCTATAATAACATAGTCTTCTATAGTCATATGGGGGAAAGGGATTGTTAGTAATGAGTTCTAACCGCCCATTGCTAACAATACACCCTATCAGGTCAACCTCCACGCGGTTCCACCTGGTAACCATCTTGGTTAATTCTTTTTGGATTCTTCACGATAGGCCAACTGACCTACCTTCATCCTCACTTATCACCCCTCACTAGTGTTCCACCAACGCATACTAATAGCGCAAGAGGGTTTTTTTTTGATGGATGAAAATGGTATAGTAACCCCGCCTGCGCTAACGGTACCTATTTATGCTTTAATTTCTTCTACCCAAAGATTGTCTGGAAGAGATTGCTTAGCAATAAGACCGCCTTTTGTACTACACTATACGTATTGAAAATTGTTTTAACAAATCATTTTATGTTGGTGCAATAAAGTGTTAAATAAAAAAAAAAAAATATACGCTGGCGGAGCACCAGTGAAGGGCGATAGATGAGAATGAAAACAGGCCAGTTAGCCCATCATGATGAATTCATCAAGAATTAACCATGATAGTTTCCAGGGGGAACCGCGAGGAGGTCGACCCGGTTTGGTATATTGCTAGCAATGAGATTCTCAGTCTCCATTACTAACAATCCCTTTCCCCCCGCGCAAGAGGGGTTACCATTCCATTTCCATCCTATAAAAAAAAATATAATCATCGAATAACAAGAAAGTGTATGTCTTATCTCATTAGTACAATATCTAAATAGTTCGTATTTAATCGTGTCGTACAATCCATGAAGCACACACACACGCACGCATCGGCTCGGATTGTGGCACGTTCGCTAATTCTACACTGCCTGTGGTTCTCAAACTGTTTGTATCTATATGTTATTATTGCAGCGTGTTTGTAGTTAAATATACAGAGATGGCGTATTAGATACGTGTAATATGCAAAGTTTTATACGTGTACAGGATTTGATATTTGTTTGTGTATATGTCATGTCATTTTATCGTTTAAAATAATAATTTAATATTATATTTAACAAAAAAAAAGTTATTTAAATTTAAAAACTGAATTATTGAACCTAAATTAAAACTAAATTAAACTGATAAAATGTCTATGACACCAATCTGTAAATATATACTTTCATATAAAAAAGGCTTTTCCATATTGGTTTATTACTGACGGAGATACGAAGTTATAAATGTTTGTTTAAAGGTAACAAAAAGAAAAAAAATCGAAACAATCGAATTAAGATTTTTAATTGACTTCAAATCGAGGTTTCTGTTAAAATGGGTTGAAAATAAAGATTAATACATCGTAATATTGTTATTCATTAGAAGAAATCTTCTTGTTAAATAAAAAATAAATAGTAATAGAAAAATCTAAGTTTTATTTGCAACTAGCTTTTATCCGCTACTTCGTTCGTGTGACCGACATACGTTTACTGACCGGAATAAAAATGGTCCATACCCTTTACCATCATACATAGAACATAAAATAAACAAATTTCATAGAGATTGGTTACAGTTAAACCGCTATAAAGTAACAAACAAACAAACTCACTTTAACATTTAAAATATTAATAAGGATGTATATTAAAACTAGCTATCGACCTTGGCTTTGCACGGGTGCAGTATTTAAGCAATAGTGACAGTTACCAATTTAAAATATTCCCAACCCCTCAAGTTGGGGCAAACATTACACATTTATAAAATTCCATCAAAATCTGTACAGTAGTTTCGGAAATTAGCATAAACGGACGCTGCGTTTTGGAATTTTTATATATTAAGAATATTTACCATACCACAACGGTGAAGAGCCTGTAATGACAACTGAACCAATTCAACGATCAATGAACTCCTAACTTACAGTTCTATAACTTCTTTGGCCAAAATCCTCTCAAACTTATATCACTTTTGTTAAGTAACTTAAATTAATTACCTACTTACTTAATTCTCACCTGCGACTCTGTACTTACCTACTTAGTCTAATTGTTATATTATACAATGAAGTTTAAATTGTAATTAGGTAACTTTGCCGATGTATAAAGTGCATTTGAAAAATCATTATCATCCTTAATTTTCCGTGGGTGTCTTAAGAAGCGACTTAGGAAACTTAATAGTCAAGGTATAGGCAGCAACTAATTCGCCTGCCAAACGTGGCAATTACTGGGAAAACCCTCCTTATGAGGAAGGCCTTATGAGGAGTTCAGCAGTAGACAGTTAATGGCTGATATGATGAACCAATGTTCATTTCGTTTTTATTTACACTTTTTTTTACAAAGAAAAAGAGTCTTCTTTTATGATAGAAAAGCGAACAGGTGACCGTCCATCTAAAAAAAGTGGTAACAGTCGTCTACAGGCATGAATAGCACTATAAACATTACAAAATACACCATGATGCCCATTGTATTCCTCGTGAGTTGTTACTCTTTATGACTATGATGTTATACCCTTTACTCAGTAATTTCACTGTCACCTTTATTACCAGTATTAAGAAAATAAAAAATCAACAATAAAGGAAAAAAAACAATTTTGCTGGTAATAGCCGCCTCAGCTGTACAGCTCCAGCGAGAAGTACCTATACAGCGCCGAATTTCAGGCGGCCCCTTAACTCCTGTACCTTTAGCATGCGTGCAGATCGCCAGTATCTATTTCTCGGATGGGAGACTCAACACGCTTAACAACAAATACATGACTTAAAAAGTATTCATTCGTTCATTAAAATAATAACAAGACCGCCATTTGTACCTTTATGTATAAATTTTAATCTGTGATTTAAGTTACTGTATTTCACTTGAATTGTTCAATTGACATTGTAAAATTTTTATGTTTCTTGTGCAATAAAGAGTTAAATAAAATGAAATAAATAATAATATGTCTGGTAACAATTTGTGTAAACGTTATTTTCACTTGTAAATTCGGCCGAAACCCTCGTTACGTCTCCAACTACTTCACAACACCACAATACGTAGAGTATATACGGTTAGAATAAGTTGACGCTCAGCACCGCAACTTGAGCAAAGTGCTTCTTTTGTACAACACTTATTATTGTGAGAACTTTGTCGTAACACGCCGGGATTTACTTATTCAGCTTGTGATGAGGGCGGAGTTACTTTTAAAGTTTTTTTTTTTTATGTCCAATTTCCTTTCTTTCGTGTTAGACATTTAAAAATGTATATTGTAATTGCACGAATCAGTTTTGTATTAAGCAGTAAAACGACAATTTTCGATTGATTTAAAAAAAATGAGATTTTCAATTCGATTGTATTTTCTTTATCTTTGTTACCTCATATCTCCGTTAGTTTTGAACTGATTTAGAAAATTCTTATTTCATCTGAAATGAGTGTAGATTGGTTTCATAGGAATTTTATCAAAATTGGTTTTGTAGTTTAGATTTTTAATCAAAATACGCCGTTTTGCCACGATTAAAGTCGATTTTTTTGTAGAACACAATTATCATTAATAAAACTGGCTGTTTTCGCAGCTTCCCTCACTTCATTTATTATATATTTATTCATTCTTTATTGTACAGACTAATAATAATAAAAAATATGGATGCGATAATCAACTGTATAAAGCGAGCTTAAATAAAGAGTTCTCTTCCAGCAAACTCAAAAGTGGAAAAAACAGAGGATATATATATATATATTTATATATATATATATATATATATATATATATATATATATATATATATAAGCTGAGTACAGACTTATTTTATGTATATTATTATTATGTAACGCTATTGATACAGATATAGTTTGTTCTTTTTATCTAAAGTTTTAACTGAATTTTTTTGAAATCTTTCAAGCTTCTATTAATGAATACTAGCACTAGTTTCGAGCAATGGATTTCGTTAATTAACATAATAATTTCTTTATATAAAGAATGTAAAGCAAAACTTTGAGAACCACCCGAAATAGCGCACGTTGTTGTAATCAAAACAATAAAATGTTAAACACGTTCGCGGTCAGTTGTCAACTGGACATTATTATATCGAATCGTGCGCATCCGCGCGATCAAACATGGCCGCTCGTGTCAGCGAACAATTATTGTGCATTACTTTGATGTTTATATTAATTGTGCATATTGAAACGTTGTCCGGAAAAGGTTAGTATGTATATTATATTTATAATAATAATAATAATAATAAAATTTATTGCCATTCTTCGCAAATTATAATGTACATATATTAATTAATCAATATATTGTCCATTAATCGTATGCGCTTGGCAATAGGTACAAACTCAGCTTTTGCTGGACTGATGTTCGTTCAGCGCTGATTTTCAGTTTGCACCTACACGGGGCACCGTTTCATTATCAAATATATATATATATATATATATTGATGTAGATATTACATAAAAAATAAAAGAAAACAATACAAAAAGTAAAATAAAATTATTTACTAAAATTAATTACTTTCTTATTCATAAAAAACGTCAAATATTTTGTAAACTTATTTTAACTTTTGAAACTGTCTATTTCGTTTGCGCTAAATTCTGTGAAATGAAAGCGTTAAAACGGTGTATTAGTTAAAATAGATTTATTTATTTTTAATGCTTAAAATGGCAAACAAGCTGACGGCCCACCTGATGGAAAGTGGTAACCGTCGCCTATAGACATGAGCAGTACCATGGACATAACAAAGTATACTGTTTCGCCCATGATACCCCCCATGCGTTGCCATTCCTGAGGGCTCAGGTGTTATTCCTCTGTACCCAATAAATTCACTGCCATATCCCACCCTTCAAACCGAAACACAGCCATGCAAACACAACTGCTTTACAGTTGAAACACGAATGGGCCAGAGGTACCCAAGCAATCGACTTTTGTACAAAGTCTCTCTCTGGTAAAGATATTGCTATATATTACTTATCCCTACTAGTGATTCCGCAGGCGGTTTTTTTTTTACTTGTGATAATGAAATGGTTATCTCGCCTGCGCTACCGGTATACACTGGCGGGGCACCAGTGAGAGATGTGTGAGGATGAAGCAGGTCAGCTAGCCCATCGTGACGAATTCAACGATAAATTAGTCAGGATAGTTTCCAGGGGGAATCGCGTGGAGTTCGACCTGAAAGGGTATATTGCTAGCAATGAGGCTGTTAAACTCCATTGCTAACAATCCCTTTTCCCCGCACAGGCGGGGTTACCATTCCATTTTCATACATAAAAAAAGAGTTTTACTGGACACATACAAGTGAAATGTTTATAACAAACGTGTCAAAATATCATTTCCTGCTTAAACATCGCTAGGGTATAGCAAACACATTGTGATTTGATCTTCTATTTGTGAACTAGTTTAATAACGTAGTAGTGAGTGGTAGTAGTAACGAGTCTGATTTTTAATGGGTGAAAATGGAATGGTGACCCCGCCTGCGCTATCGCTATACACTGACGGGGCACCAGTGATAGATGACTGATGAGGATGAAGGCAGGTCAGTCGGCCCAACGTGAAGAATTCAACAAGAATTAACCACGATGGTTTCCAGGGGGAACGGCGTTAAGGACGACGTGATAGGGTGTATTGCTAGCAATGGGCTTGTTCCAAACCATTTTTAACAATCCCTTTCCCCCTAGTAATGAGTCTGTTAGATCCCATTAGTAACAATCCCTTTTCCCCGGCCACTATAGCTTTTAAAGTGTTCAAATAACGATAAAGCACTTCAGACATATACACCATTGCATCATTATGATGACATCACCATTACAATAGGGATGATGGTAACAAGTGATTATTATGTCATATTTAACAATAGAACACAGTAAGTGTGACAACTATTGGCAAAACATCCTTATGGGGAAGGCCTATATTTAACAGTGGACGGACTAGTATAATAAAAATCTTTTCCATCCAACGGTACACCATTTTACTTCATAGAGCACATGATATCTCAGTGGCTCTGTTACTCTCAATACTAGATCTAATTGAATAAGCTATAACGTACATTGCTTTACATAATAATAGCTTAAAATATTTTTGCTATAATTGGATGTGAGGGTTATAATGCAGTAAGAATTAAATATAGCTTTGTATAAGAATACAATTTTACAATTTTAAACAATTTTAATTGACGAAATTAATTTTATTTCAGAATTCTATTGCAGAGACCCCGATACCGGCAAACTACACGATGTGAACACGACATGGCCGTCTGAAACATTTTGTGGTAATTACACGTGTAAACTTAGGAAAATAAACTTAACTGAGACCCAATATGCACCTATAAGACAAATAAACGTAAATGATGTTCCTATATATAAAATGACTGATATTAAAATGAACAATAACGATATTGTTCCAAACGATGAATCTCAAGTAGTTAAACAAACAACCGAGACCGATACAAAGGTTGTTCTTAATAAAAAAGATAAACCACAAATCGTAAAAAATAATATACTTGAAAAAACTGGTGACGGAACTGATAGACTATTAAATAAAAAAGAGATAAAAACAATATCTGAATTATTACACGATGTAAAGAGAAGCGATTTGGAGGCTATACTGGATATTTACAATTTAGCTCAAGATTTATATAAAGAAATGGATAGAACAACGAACGCTAACATTATAGAAGAGACAGCAGAGGCAATTAAACAACAGAAGGGCAAAGAAATAGGGAAAAATGCAAACGTGTCTGTTATAAAAAATCAATACGTAGACAATTCTTTGAAGGTCAACAGTGAACCAAAAGAAGTGTTAGATATGGACTTTCAAACATCAAATATTGTACAAACTACCGTGCCTCCAAGAAAAGGTAACGCCCATTACGATTTTGGAGGAAATTTAGGAACCAAGGATTTCGGAAGGCTCCCGTATTACTATCCATTGTCGAGTTTCCAACGTCAATATTCATATTACAATCCATCTTATACTTTTTCTCAATATATGCACAATTTGAAGCCATGCACACATCAAGCAGCTAGTACAACTAAAAGTACTCCAGTAGGTTTACCTAGTTATGGTAATGTAATCAAAAAACCTTTTGCTATCGATAGCCGTAAATCCATGCAACCTTTACTATTGTCTTATCCGTATTCTTATATTCAACATTATAATACTAGCGGTTATGCAAATAATGTATATTACAAAAATCCATGGAATCATTTTGATGTATACAAACAAAGCATGAATTATCAACCTTATTATGTAGCTAAGCTAAGCAACCCACAATTTATTAAGGCCGAACCAAATAATGTTAAAGTTACTAATGAAAAGTCAAACAGTGGAGACTTACTAGATACCTTATTGTTGAAAACTAAAGTGGAAAGTAACAGTAGTCCAGGGTGGCAAACAAAACCTTTATCGCGCAATATATTAGATGAAGTAAAAGCAAATTTTGAACAGAAATCTATGTTTATAAAGCCAATTTCATTGAGGAAAAAGATTAATTTAGAGAGAGTTGGTAAAGTTATAAAATTAGACGATTTGAATAGAAATAGAAGGAGTATAGAAGAGGAGAAAACAGACGCTGATGATTACGAAGCATACCTCGAAAAAACAACGTAAGTAATATCATTTATTACTTAAATATTGAAGCTTATCTAGGTAACTATTGTTTGATGCAGTACTAAAGATAGGATTAATACCTGTCAGTCGTAGAGAAAAATACCAAAAACTTTAACTAACAATGTAAAGTGTCTTTTCCAAATTTCCACCTAAGTAGAGACGAGTCAGAATTTCATTATTATCATTCCCATCTCGACTACCATGCGTCCAGTATTGATTATAGGCCTCCTCCTTAGACTGTCATAAGGAAAGGCCCTGAGCTACCTGTATTCACTGACTCCCTGCAATGCATTTGTGGTCGTCACTCCATCTAGTGGGGAGTCATTCTACACTGCTCTTTTTTTCCATCGGTTGTTGATTCTTCGAGCTAAGTGGCCAGCCCGTTGCTACTCCAACTTGCTTATCTTTCAGCTTAGAATTTACCAAGACATAATCTGGCCCAAGTTTATTTTAATAAAGATAATTATTTGTCTATTCCCTCCCTTTTGTCAGTGGCAAATATCTCGTTTTATAAGCCCATAAATTTGACAAATTGTTACAAAAAAAAAAAAAAAACTAAAGCCATTCCCTACGTGTCGTGGTAACCCTTTAAAGATGTACTTAATCACGTTTTTTTTTGTATTATTCACACACAAAAAATTAATCACTTACCATACATGTGAAGTATGTTTGAAAGAAACACCTGTCTGTTACTAACTACAGAAATATTTAACTTGAAGATATAATATCTCAATGTACACACTGAGTTTTTATTAACGGGTGAAAATAGAATGGTATATGCAGGCGGGGCAATGTAATTAAAAACAGGCAATGAGACTAGAAAAAAATTTACAATAGAAAATGAAAGCGCGCTTTAATTTTTTTTTCCAAATTATGGTAACGTTTTTTGAGAGATGTGTATAAAAATATAACGTTTGCAGGGTCAGCTAGTATATATATATATCAACAAATTTATTGAGGTAAACGTCGGTTATATTTTACAAATATGTATATATATATATATATACATATTTGTACTTTTCAACTAACTTTATAAAGACAGAAATTTTCAATTTAGTTGCATTTCTTTTTATGTTAGTTACCTCATAACTCCGTCAATGGTAAATGGATTTCGATAATTCTTTATCTAAAAAGATGTACTTACAGATTGGACTTATAAAAGTTTAATCAAAATCGGTTTAGTAGTTTCATTTCTAAATCAAAATAAAACTTTGTTAAAATTTAAATAGGTTTCTTGGTGGATTACAATTTATTTTCCATGTATAGTACATTTAAAACTAGAGAAAAAATGAAAAAAAAAAAAAGAAAACGAATATGCACTTTAATTTTTTCCCCCCAAAATATGTACACATTTTATGAGACATCTGTATAAAAATATCCTTTAATATTTTCACTTGGAAAAAAAGCCTATATACTTCAAGTAGTACGCGGAGTATCATGGTATATCGAATTTAGCTAAGTTGACATGTAACAGGCGTGACAACTCGGTAATATGAAAGCAACTCGACACCCTTGCGACATGATACACTATTGTTCTCTCTTTCTAATGTATTATTGTCAAAGCACACAGTAAACATATATCGCACAGAGACATCTAGCGGATATGCATAAATAATAATATGATTTATAAATAGTTTTACTCATATTGAACTTTTGATATGGAACTATGTAACCAACTCCCATGCGGCAGTATTTATTTATATATGTTATTTATTTATACTTTTAACGTATTTTTTTAATGAGTGATAATAGGATGGTAACCCCACCTGCGCTATCGGTATACACTCTATACTGGCGCGGTACCAGTGAGAGATGACTGATGAGGATGAAAGCAGGTCAGTTAGCCCACCCTGACGAATTCAACTAGAATTAACCACGATGGTTTCCAGTGGGTACCACGTGGAGGTCGACCTGACAGGGTATATTGCTAGTAATGGGACTACCAGAGGGAGACTTTGTACAAAAGTCGATTGCTTGGGTACCTCTGTCCCATTCGTGTTTCAACCGTGAAGCAGTTGTGTTTGCATGGCTGTGTTTCGGTTTGAAGGGTGGGATATGGCGTGAATTTACTGGGTATGGAGGAATAACACCTGAGTCCTCAGGAATGGCAACGCATGGGGGGTATCATGGGCGAAACAGTATACTCTGTTATGTCCATGGTACTGCTCATGTCTATAGGCGACGGTTACCACTTTCCATCAGGTGGGCCGTCAGCTTGTTTGCCATTCTAAGACGTATAAAAAAAAATTTGGCTCCATTACTAACAACTCCTTTCCCCCACTTTTGATGTGTTATCCCAACATAGAATGCCCCCCCCCCTTTCCGTGGGTGTCGTAAGAGACTAATGGATCTTAATGGTCGAAAGACGTGCAATAGCGTCCCTTTTAAAACAACGCCAAAGAATAATTGCAGTTGCCAAAACGCCTGCCAAGCGTGGTAACTACTAGCAAAACCCCCCAATAGGGAGTATTGCAAGTGTTCATCGTCATCATTTCAGCCATTATCCGTCCACTGCTGGACATGAGCCTCCCCCATAGACTGCCATAAGGAATGCTCCTGAACCACCTGCATCCACTGACTCCCTGCAATGCATTTGAGGTCGTCACTCCATCTAGTGGGGGGTCGTCCTACACTGCGTTCGCCCATACAGGGTCGCCACTCAAGAACCTTTCTTCCTCATCTGTTGTCGGTTGTTCGAGCTATGTACTCAGTCCATTGCTACTTCAGCTTGCTTATCCTTCGGGCTATGTCGGTATTCACAGGCTATAGTACCTAACCACTTACCATCAGGTGTGTCGTATGCGTTGGTTTGACTATTTGACGAGGATGGATGCATGGATGCAGAGCAAGAATGAATAGTAATGACGGTAGATCAAGAAGGGATAATAATATAGGGGATAGTACTGTTATTTATACTGTGACACCATCCTGTATGTGTAAGAGATGTAACAAAATTAATACTTATAATTATTTTCCTTAATATTTTATTCTGTTAATTTTCTTAATTATACAATACCTACTTGTACAACAATTAGTCCATTACCCTAAGGTTGTCTTGAAAAGATTGCTCTCAGCAATAAGACCGCCTTACTGTACTTATACAACTGTATCGTTACATTTATTAATTGTCTTGTTCTTTTCCTATATTGTATAATGCAAATATATATAAATAGACAGATAGATTATCTACATTACTTACAGCACACAAATCACAATACAAACATACACATAATACACAGTAAATGAAATAAAATAAAATAAAAGCAACAAAAAAAAAGCAAAATATATAAACTAACAATCTCCTTTCTTTCCCTTCCTTCATGCGAGTGCCATAGTAACAAAATGTTCACAACTCAGTTTATTGCTTTGCCCACAAAACAGCAAAACACTGATATTCTGTTGTGGTCAAGAGTCAGTCGCGAAATTCCTTATTAAAAATAATAATAAAAAGAAATATGAATAAAATGCATTGTGTGTGTCCATTACATTTGCCTCGATTTGATATATATTCATTAATTCATTCATTCAATAAATTTTTTTTTTCAGATGTAAATCAGACGAAGACCCTGGCTATTTCCGTGTGGGGAACCTCACGGAACCCTACCCAGCTTGCTGCCCACAAAGGATAAATAGTTGATAATTTATAATTATAAGTAGAATTAAAAATATATGTAAGGCTTTTTTTACTCAACAAATGTATTTTAATCTTTTAATCTATAACGAGATTACGAATGTTCGAGAGAGAGAGAGAGTTTACCACAAAAATATGTGTTAAATATTTATATATATATATATAAAACGTATAAAATTTATCATTTACGAATCTTATTTATATTATAAATAAATGTCAATGGTTGTAAAAATTAATAGATGGTTAGACGTTTGTTACTCTTTCACGCAATAACTACTAAACGGATTTGAATGAAATTTGATAAAAAAGATATGTATCCCAGATAATATAGATAGAGCAACGAGTCTCAAAAGCGGCTCAACTTTTTGTCAGCTAATTGTCAAATTAGCTGGCTCGTTTTTTTTTTTATCAGTGTTTTATATACAATGTAATTTGACGTATTATTTAATAAATAAAATGAGTATTTACGCATTACGCAAAGACGCAGAAATCATATAGACAAAATAAATATAGAAGTTATAAAAGAATCACCTATATGAAATGAAATGAAATGAAATGAAATTTATCACGAAAAATTTTATGAAAAAGTTGACTCGCTTTTTTTCGAAGCATCTGTATGGAGACACTCTATTTATATAATCTAAGGTGGACATATAGTGACTTATCATATGGGATTTTATAATTTATATACCGATACACGTAGGTGAAACCGTGGAATATAGTTAAGAAATAAAACACAAGAGTGAAGTGGCGTAAACGAATATTTTTTAACAAAGTGCATTTGTTAAAAATACATTAGTCAAACGACACACGGTTCCAATTAAGCCGGTGTTCCCTCAGATAGCGGCTAATTTAAAATTAATCACCAAAAAACTATACCAATAAATCAGATAGGGTGCCCGACGCCCCCACAAGTCGTCTGGCAATGTGGGATGACAATAAAACCTTTTTTTTTTAAGGAAATATTCCACCGGTTGTTGTAATATTTATTGAAAACATAATCATATTGAATTATTGTATTATAAAGAATATTTGATATATTTCCTTCTTATTAAAAGGTTCTAAATTATTTATTAAGAAAAAAAAAATAAGGATCATGGATAATTAAATCTAGATGGGATAATCCGGAGAATTATTAATAGCTTTTTTTTATAAATGTGGTTACACCATCCTGAGTGAACACAGAGACTACACGATCCGTGATTACGATCAACCCTAAGAACAAGGAATTACATAGAAGGAATGATAAAATAAAAACTGTAAATCATATGGTTGCCTCATAATATTTTTATGCAAATATAATTAGTAAAAAGAGGACGAAAGATACACCATCAGTTGCTATTTTTCTTAATTCATAGCAGACTAGTGTATAGAAAATGTTTAATATGTCAATTAAATGACAAATTTTACATTACTAGATTATATATTCGACACAGTTTATGTAGAAAGTATGCAACCAGGTTGCATCTAAACTTGGTAGGGTTATACGGCTGTATAACATTTTCTGTACACTAGCCTGCTATGAATTAACCGAATCGTTGATTGCTTAGGATCAACCGAATGGAGAATGTTTCACTTTCAAAGGTTGGCCGCACTGTTTTTTTTTTTATACAACTTAAGCAAGGACTTGAGCATGTAGGATGAAGATCTGAATCTTTAAAAATTAAGGAGCTATACTTTAAAGATTGTAAGTTTTTTTTAAGTAAGTTAGAATGGCAAACAAAGCTGACGGTTCACCTGATGAAAGAGGTAACCGTCGCCAATAGACATGAGCAGTACCGTGGACATAACAGAGTATACTGTTTCGCCCATGATACCACCCATACGTTGCTATTCTTGAGGACTTAGGTGTTATATCTATGTACCCTGTAAATTCACTGCCGTATCCCACCTTTCAAACCGAAACACAGCCATGCAAACATAATTGCTTCACGGCAGAAACATAAATTGGACAGAGATGCCCAAGCAAACGACTTTTGTATAGTCTCCCTCTAGTAAATTTATTTGCCATAGAGAACAGCATAGACTATTTGTCACCAGTAGAGGTAGTATTAATTTTTTTTTGTATGGATGCTAATGAAATAGTAACCCCATCCGCGCTATCGGTATACACCGGCTGAGCACCAGTGAAGCATGATAGGTGAGGATGAAGCAGATTAGTTAGCATATCGTGACGAATTCAACAAAATTGTTCACGATGGTTTCCAGAGAGAACCACGTGGAGGTCGACCTGACAGGGCATATTGCTAGCAATGGGGCTACCAAACTCCACTGCTAACAATCCCTTTCCCAGTATTAAAATATTTACAAATGAAATTTTATACGCATGGCTCATCCAGTAGAGATAAGATCTGTTGTTACAATTATTATCAAAGGGAGTATAACTAAATGCACTCATTTCACCCAATTTACCATAAACCAGTCATTGGGCTAATGGAGCAAAGCCTATAAAATCGTTACATTACATTTTGTTAGGAAAAAAAAAACATTGTAAGGGTTCACTTAAAAAAGCATTTACTCTAGTACGGCTCTGTGACTTATCGTTGTCTGTTGGAGGGGGACAGCGCTATACGGCGACCGCTGAGTGCGAACAAGAGGTGAATACTGCGGTAGAAATATTTAAATTAAGTCCTCCCCTTAATGTCGGACATTATTTTTTTATCGGCGCGTCCAAATAAAGATATGTCGCGACTGGAGCCTTTTTAGAAAGGAAATGGTTTTCTTGGTTGGGGAAAAATGTATAAAAAGTGAGTTGCGAGCTTTTATACTGAGGGTCGTGATAGTTGTTGATACTTGATACTTGATACTTGATTTATTTTTTATTTGTTTTTTTTTTCTCTCCCGCATATATTGAGGGCGTTATGGGTAGTAAGTATATTTTTTCAATATCAGATGAATATTGCTTGGGTACTAGTGTATTATTTTTATAATGGATGATAATGGAATGGCAGCCCCGTCTACAATAATAGTATACGCTGGAGGGGCACCAGTGAGGGATGATAGGTTAGGATTAAGCAGGACAATCATTGTGATGAATTCATTAAAAATTAACCACAATGGTTTCTACAGGAAGAGAGAGCATGGAGATTGACCTATTAGGGTACATTGCTAGTAATGGGTGTACCCTACAGCCTAGATGGTCACGTACAACGCGATCAGGTTATGGAATGAGCTCCCTGTCGAGGTTTTCCCAAGAGACTACAGCATGAGATTCTTCAGGGTCGGCAACGCGCGCGTAATGCCGTCCTTTGGAGTTGTGTTCAGCAATGGACAGTTACCGGCTAAAATAATGATAATTGTAAAGTAAGTATTCTAAGTAATTATAAGTACACTGTTAAAATGCTATAAGGCAACAGTTAAACAACTGTTAAATCATAATCCCTCCTAAAAGCAGTCTTTTTTTTGAGTGTCCCAAAAACAAAATGGTAAAAAAGATCTTGTCCGCATGACATTAACAGATTAAACCCTCCGCGGTAACCCAAAATATTTGTCCAAGTTCATTGATAACGTCACACCCTCTACCTGAAGATTAAAAGGTTAACTTTTTTGTTTGCTTGCTAGACAAGAATGTACGTGTGAATGAGCATTGTTATTTGTCTCTGGCTTCTTTGGGATTAGTTTTAAGTTTTTTTTTATTTATTAAGTTTTGACCAGACAGCGTCAGTCAAAACATAGTACTTAGTCTAAAGAAATAAAAAAATAATGGCATTCTTAATTCGAATAAAATTTTGTTTTAATCACTTTTGATTTGTGATTTTTTTTTTCATAAAAAACCGCATTCGTGTTTGAATAAATAGTCTTTTTTTAATTATCCTGCATTCTATATTTGAAATATCGTTCTTATTATTTTGCGTTATGATAACATTTCTTTTAATCTGCGTTCTATTTTTAAATCTATTTTTTTATACATACTTTTAAACTTTACACTCTTGTTCGTCAAGAAAAAATTAGGCTGTTGCTTTTATAGTAGGAAAAAAGTATATTCTTTTATTCTATTAAATTTGAATGGAAATAAACTGAAGGCACCCCTTATGGGAATTGACAAATGGTGTTCTTCGTCTTCGTCACGGATAACTGAGAATATAGCTAAAAATAACTTTCCTATCAATATTAAGTGCTATCACCTATAATTTAGTTGTCAGTATCGCCAACACTCAACATAGGGATCGATTCTGAGGCGTCATTTCTCTGAATTTATCGCAACCTAATATTTTTAATTGACAATTTCGCGAAATTACTATTTTGTTTCCATTGTAAACTAAATTTAGAATAATTTTGACTAAACCTATTAAAAAAATTATTTCACATTAGTTTCTAGACAACATATCGCTGTAATATAAAATTTTAATTAGTGCATTTAACATTAACAACAAATTTACATTCACAAACAAACAAACAATTCACCGGAGGGAGACTTTGTACAAATGTCGATTGCTTGGGTACTTCTGTCCCATTCGTGTTTCAACCGTGAAGCAGTTGTGTTTGCATGGCTGTGTTTCGGTTTGAAGGGTGGGATATGGCGTGAATTTACAGGGTACAGAGGAATAACACCTGAGTCCTCAGGAATGGCAACGCACGGGGGGTATCATGGGCGAAACAGTATATTCTGTTATGTCCATGGTACTGCTCATGTCTATAGGCGACGGTTCCCACTTTCCATCAGGTGGGCCGTCAGCTTGTTTGCTTTTCTAAGTTGTAAAATAAAATCCAATTTTTGATATTAAAAAATAAAACATATACAAAGCAATAAGAAGTAACAAAGTAAATCCGCTTTTGGCAAAACTACAGATTAAAAATCCATCTACTCTGTGTATAATTATAACTGTTCTGGTCTATGGTCTTGGGCTTGTTCGACTTTTATAAAAATAACGAGCAACTAATAAAAGAGGACATTAAAAATAAAAAAAAAATATTGAATAGCCGTACTGTATCTACGTAGAGAGTCTACTAATAATAGATAAAGTATTATATTTTTAAAAACCTCTAGTGAATTGGCAGGTGGGTAGAGGGGAAGGTTGCTTACAGATAATCTATTGTAGATAATATAAGAATAAAAAACGTTGG